TTCCCGGTAAAAAAAAAAAAAAAAAAAAGAAAAAAAAAAAAAAAAAAAGATGGCCGGTAAGGGGATCTTAACCCTTGATTTGGTGTTGTCAGCATCACGCTCAGCCAGTGAGCGAACTGGCCATCCCTATATGGGATCCGAACCCGGGGCCTTGGTGTTACCAGCACCGCACTCTCCCGAGTGAGCCACGGGCCGGCCCTGTTCTATTGGTTTTAGGTTATCATTCCATGATCAGAGAGAAGCTCTGATCATTGTTGCCTTTTCTGGAATGAATGCAATCAGGCCTATTGGATTGGTAGAAGTCGAAAATTTAAAAAAAGAAAAGGAAACAGTGTTGAAGAGGCTGTGGATAAATGGATACTCTCATAAATGACCATGGACATTGCTACAACTTCTCTGGAAACTAAGTTGACACCAAATTTCAAGTTTGCATAGTCCACTTCTAGTTATTAATTTTTAGGAAATGACCAAAGAGGTGCACCAAGATTTGGCCACAAGGTTGTCTATGGCAGAATTGTTTATACACCTGTTGTTTCAGCTAACTATTGCTGCATAACACACCACCCCTAAACTTAGGCATTTGAAGCAACCAGAGCTTATTACTTCTCACAATTTGGGAATCTGAACTAGGATCAGCTAAGTGATTCTGCTCCACATGGGCTTTGCTGGACTGGGACATCCATGATGAACATTCCTCAGTCACATATCTGGAGCCTCGGCTGGGCTGGCTAGGCATCTCTCTCTCCATGTGGCTGCTTGGGCTTCCTCACAGTATGGTGGTCTTTACTCCTCTCATGCCAACAAGCTTCCAAGAGAATTGGCAGAAGCTACCTGTCTTCTTAAATGCTTGGCTTGGAAGTCACACAGCAGCTCTTCTGCCACATTCTGTTGGTCAGAGCAAGTCACGTGGCCATACCCAAATTCAAGGGGAAGAGGAGGAGAAATAGACTCGGTGTGAGGAGCGGTGAGGGCATAATGGGATGGAAATAATTGATGATGGCCATCTTTGGAGACAATCTATCTCATCCACATTAGCAAAGAATTGGAAATAATTGTCCAGTAAGAGGGCACTAACTAAATAATTTTACATTTTAAAATTTAAAAGCATCA